TTGGGGACGTTTAGAGGTGCCAAAGTGAGCGGATCCCACCCGCCCCGCTGGACCGTCCCTCTCCCCCCAGGGCTTTCATTCCGTGCAATGTTCATCGCTCGCTCCCCGCTCTGGGGAAGGGGACGTGTCACCAAACCAGGTGGGGTTTTTTTTGCCTTTCCTGCCGCAAATTGTCCGGATGAAACGTCCCCTTGGCCTTTGGCTGGGTCAGTTTGCACAGGTGAAGTGAGTTACAGCACTTAAAAAGCAGCGTGGAACCACAGCCGTGCTGGGAACACCTGCTTGTTGCACTTGTATCATTACATGCCCTTGTATTAAGTGATCACCTAACCCTAAATAAAATGGGATTGAGAGGAAAATATTTTCCTCTTTAACTGGTTTTTTTTAGTCTAGGATCTGTTTCTTCCCTTCTTTTCACCCTCAACTTGTAAATAAAAGAGCAGGGAAAAAAAACAGCTTTTTTTCTGCAAGTGTTTCAATGTGACTTAAAGTGTGTTATGTTTTAAATGGGTCTGTGGAATTAACCAGCTTTGTCCCTTCAAATATAATCAGTAAAATAAGAAATGTGCATTCTGAGGAATATTTGAGGTTTGGTCTTAACTTAAATCTGCTTGAAAGTAAACTCTGCAGGTAAAGGCAAGGCTGCATTTTCAAGGTCAGGGTTACAGGTCAGCCATGAATCCAGCAAACATTACAGATTTACACCTACAGATGATACAAGAAATATCTATAATGTTTTCTTATTCTTTAATGGGTTGTTCACAAGCTGTTATTAGTCATAATAACAACCACTTCTGCTTCTGTGCTTGTTGATTTCTCAGCAGCCTTTATCAGTGGTTTTGTCATTCCAAATAAGCAAAGAAATGGGAATATTTTATGTGGAGCTTGTGGGCAGGTTACTTTTTCATTTATCCAGCTCTCTGGTGTTGCTCATTATTGTGTGTGTGGAGTTTTTGGATGGGATCTGAAGGATTGATCTAGAGCTGGACGTTTCCTTTCCAAAGGAGCATTCGGAATGATTGCTCGGGCGGAGCAGTTCAGTTTTTTTAGCAGTACCAGATGTGTGAGCTAGACAGACATAGATATCTGTACATCTCTGCCCCCTGGGGTCCCTGGCCATGCTGCTGTTGGCAGGGCCATGGCTGGGTGCCAGCAGGGCTGTGGTGACAGCCTGGTAATTGTCACTGCCATCAGTCCCCCCTCTTTATAAAACCCAGCCTCAACAAGCCCCAATACAAGATTTAGCTCATTTTTTTTTCACTGTAACACAGTAAAAAGACTTGCTGTGCAATGAGTTAGTATTGATTTTCTTTTTATTATTTTTTTTTTCCTGCCTGTAGCCTCTTAGCTTTCTGACTCCATTATTTTTGATTTTCCTATGGAATACATATCCCTCCTACTGACAGCTGACAAACAACATATGGAAGTCGTTTTATCTACCAATAATGTCTTTGTCAAAAAAAAACCCTCATACACTAATGGCTTGTGCTTCCTCCAGTCCATTTTCCCCAAGTTAATGTCACTGATGTAATTCTAAACATTTAGTGATTTTTGCCCCCTTAATAATTTGTCATTCCCATAGGCTTGAGTGAGATTCATGTAAGATACTGTAACAGGCTGGGAACTGACCATAGGTTTGGTGAAATAAGAGTTGAGCAACTGATTTTAAATCTAGGCTCACCTGCTGTTCTCTGAGACCTCGTTTTAACACTGTGACTACACTTATCATGCCTTTATTTACCCACAGACCAGAAGCACCCAAGAGCTGGATGAATGATGATTCCCTCTCCCTGCTAGGGCATTAGTATATTGGGGTTTATGTTTCCCAAGGGATCCTTAGGAATCTTCTTTTAAGAAGAAGACTTTATCAGCAGGGCAGCAGAGCTTTTAAACACAAGTTTCATTGTAAGCCAGTGACTTTTGTCCTTCTCAATTCAAAATGATCAGGTTTAAAGATCAAAGAATCACATAATGGTAGGGATTGGAAGGGACCTCTGAAGTCCAAGCCCCCCTGCCAGAGCAGGACCAAATCCAGGGCAGATCTCTTAGAAAGGCCTCCAGATGGGTCTGAAAGTCTCCAGAGAAGGAGACTCCACAACCTCTCAGGGCAGCCTGTCCCAGGGCTCTGTCACCCTCACAGGAAAGAAGTTTTTCCTGTGAGTTTGAATCCATTGCCCCTTGTCCTGGCACAGGGCACAAGTGACAAGAGGTTGTCCCTGCCTTCTTGATGCCCAGCCCTCAGGTATGTATACACATTAATTCAGATGAGCTCATGCACGTTGCTGGAGTGCAGCTCTTGCTCTCAGCCTTGCCAATGCTGTGGCAGCTGCACCTAAAAGCAGGTAAGGAAGGTGAGCTGGGCTGTGAACCTGAAGCAGCAGAAAATGGAACAGACAGTAAAGGAAATACTTTTGTGTCAAGTGTATCCTCAGGAACCAGCCATGCTCCCCAGGCCTGAAAATAACACAGTTCTGCAGTGCAACCTGTTCATAAAAACTGAGGTTGTTAATTTAGTGTGGGCATCTCCATTCCAGACACATTTCTGAGCTGCTGTTCGTTTATTTGCTCACCTGAAGAACCTCTTTCTTCTCAGTAAAAGACTGGAATGAGTTTTCAGTGGATAGTCATTGCAAATGGATTTAAGTTATGTTTATTTTTTCTTGTGCAGAAAAGCATTTTGCAGTGTGTGGGAATATCTGCCTGAATTTGGATTTAGAGTGTTGGATACAGAGAGAGAATTTGGTATTTCTGAGTTTCTGGATAATTCTGCAGGCTCTGTTGATCTGCAAGCACTTCTCCTGAGTTTGAATATGCTTTGGTTTCTTCAGAACAAGGGTTTAACCTTTTAAACATACATATGTATATAGCAGAAATATAGAATTGGAATTGCTCTTTTATTTAAATGTGTGAGGTTTATAGTGTTTAAAGAACTCTTGTGTATTCATGACATGTTCAATCCAACTTCATGGTTATCCTGAGCTGCTTGTTCCTCATCTTTTTGGCAAGCTCCTTTCTACTTTGTCTCCTGAGATGTTGATTCTGGGACTCCTGAGCTCCCCAGCCACAATGACCTGACCATGGCCAGACACGGCGACCAAACTGGTGGCATCGTGGCTTGTCATGAGGAGAAGACAGATGGTGGCACATCTCTTGGTTCCTCTGCAGCCAAATCCCTCTCCATACCAGCAGTAGATTCACTGCCGCATCCAGGTGGTTCTCCATCAAGCTGTCTGCACTATCCTTGACTTCTCCAGGAAATCCTCCTGCCATAAATCCAGCAGTTCCTGCCAGGACATCTCCAACTCTTAAGTTAGCATCTTGGATGACATCATAGGTTGAACAATAGTGGCCAACTCACTGTTATTATTTTTACTAAAGGAGCGTCTCCCTTTGCAGCCGAGTTTTGAGGCAGCATTACCATATTTACCTGGTAGCTACTGCTATAAAATGTATTCAGGGCATCACTCAGACACTGCATTCTTGTCAGCTCACACTAATGTCCCCTGACATTGCACCTTCTCTTTGTAGACCAACCCACCCTGGTAGAGCAAGTGAAACGAGTAAAGGAAATTGAAGCTATTGAAAGTGACTCCTTTGTTCCACAGACATTCAGATCAAGTAAAGAAGTCAAAAAGGTAAGTTTTCAATATCCTTTCTCCATGCACAATCCTTTCAAAGTCAGGTGGAAGCTGGGCTATTAATACAGTTTTCCTTGATGAAAGAGCATCAATGTTGACAATCCTAAATCCCACCACTGACTCTCCTGTGTTCATGGAGGGCCGTTCAAGGCAGAACACATTGAAATGTGCAAAAATGCCAATGAAATTACCCATTTTGACAGTATATTCTACCCAGGCTGAGCAACCCTGATTTTTAGCAATTATTTTAAAGTCATATAAAACTAAGCAGATTTTCAGGCAGAGCCAAAGAATCAAAATCTGAAAGTAATGAGACATTTACATTGCAGTTAAAGGTAGAGATCAGTCTATTTAATTCTGCTTCACTGAAGCCAGACTTGAAGCCTGTATTTACTCCCTGAAGCAACCCAGCATTGTTTTCAGACAGCTTTCCAAAAGCCTAAGGTGTTACATCCAGGTTCCAGAATTTTACCCGCATTTTGGCTGCCAGGTCTTCTAGGGAAGCCAGATGCTTTTGTCTTTGGAAGTAGTTTTGTCTTCTGAAGCCTTTTCAGAAGTTGATGGGGCTTCTTCAGAAAGTGATGCAGAAACCCAGAGCTCTCTGGGGAGCTCGAGATAAAAAATACTGGGCTGTGTTTCTTTCTCTTCAGTCCACAGAGCCTGCTGACCCACAGTATGAGCCTGTAACCACTGGAGCAGGAGCTGCTGATGCATCTGCTCCCGAAAAAGAAGCCCCAGCTGCCAACATCCCCACTGCCATCAAATACCAAGATGATAATTCTTTAGCACATCCCAATGTAAGTGTGTTGATATTTATCTTCAGAACAAGAGAGGCCACTGAATGAGAGCAGGCTCATGTCACCATTTTGCTGTGCTGCTCATCAGATACTCTGTGGTGAAGACCACTAATTAATTGGCCACTCATTGGCTCAGAAAAGATCCCACTCCTTGATCATCCAACAGAATAATTACCATCACTGGTGATGGAGCTTTAGAGTTAAAAGCACATTTATAACAAAGTAGTACACTGATTTAATGCATGGGAATTCAAGATCCTGTTCATATAAAAATTCCTCTTCAAGAAAAATTTGGGAAAAACTTGCTTTTGGTTTCTCTGGTGGTGAACCTGGGGGAAGACCCAGAGCTCACCAGATTGTAAAGCTGTGAGTACATGACAAACTGAAGGTAAGTTTAAATAACTGGGCACTTGTAATTGGAAAGGGAGCACTTCCAGCCAGAGGGCTTTTTAAGAATTAGCAAGTTCAAAATGACTTGCAATAAACAAACAAATGCAAGTTCTGTATTAATGACCATGGCCAACAAAGATCAAGACCTGTACAAAATGACCAAGGTGCTGTTCTGGGAGGAGAATGAAGCTGGAATGTCCCCAGTTATTAATGTTTCCTATTATTTATGTTTCCTATTATTAATGGTTCCAATTATTAATGCTTCCAGTTATTAATGTCTCTACCTTTACTCATAAATTTATACCACCACTGTATTTTAACACCCCTGCTCAGCTGGGCTTTTTCTTTGGGCTCTGGAAGGGTTGGGACATGTTTCAACAGATCTTACCAACTAAAGCTAAAGTTAATGAGTACTAAGGAGAAAGTTCCTGAGTTGTGCCTGCTTTTCTTCCCCTCCCCTGTGTCTCTCAGCTGTTTATTGAGAAGGCAGAGGCAGAAGAGAAGTGGTTTCAGAGGCTGATGGCCCTTCGGCAGGAGAGGCTGATGGGCAGCCCGGTGGCCTGAACGGATGTGGGGAACCATCACACACAGCTCTCCATGAATGCTAAGAAATCCTACCATGAAATGGTTCTATTTTTCTCTTTTGAGGGGATTTTAATCCTCAGTCTGAGTTGTACAGGGAATAAATATTTCATCCGAATAAACAAGAATGTTCTATCCTCCGTTTTGCTCCCCAGCTCATTGTGGTTCTGCTGCAGATGGGAAGGCTGTCAGAGCAGGGTAATTTTCTTTTTTGTGCTGAATTCCTCTGGGGTGCAAAACATCTGACAGCAGGAGATGTAATTTTATACCTCCCAATAAAAAAAAATAATAATAAAAAAAATATATATATAACCATGTAGCAGCTTAAAGGTAAATGAAAAAGTAAGACTGTCAAAAAAAGTTTAGCTTTAGTAGTGCTCAGACCATAGCAGTCCAAGTGATACCACCCTGGGCCAGGACATCTGCAGCTGGAGGAGGATTCAGGGCAAAGATATCACTGTTATCTCTCCTTCCTTCTGCTCTGTGTTACAGGAGCAGCTTTTGAACCCCAAACATAAGGGGAGAGTCTCCTTGCTGAGGGGCTCTTCTCACCTGATGCATCCACCTGCCTGCTCCAGCCTTAGCCTGGTTCCTCCCTTCTGCTGGGCCTTCTGCTGGGAAGAGATGTTGGACATTGCCTTCAACATCTGGTGTTAGCATCCAGGAGTTAAGTGTCAGGAAAAAGTTACCTTCTCCTTTCAAACACCTTTCTAAAGTGTTCAGC